ACAAAAATATAATCGTTGGAGATTTTAATACACCTGAATATTCTCCTGTCTCTTCTGATACTGACGGGCCATCTTTCACCTCACAAAGTAAGAAACTACTACTCTTACAGGAATTTATGTCAATTTGCAATCTTCACCAGGGTAACCGCACCCCTAATGAAAAAGGCCGATATCTTGACTTAGTACTATCATCAGAAAATTTGTTGACAGTTACAGAAGCTGATACGCTGAGTTTGAAAGATGGACACCACCCTGCTTTGGAATTTGAATTCCCCTCTTTATGTAATACTCCAAAAAATCTAAAACTTAATAACAAAAAACGTTTGAACTTCGCAAGATGTGATTATGACAGCATAAGACATGACTTGGAGTTATTGGACTGGCACAATCTTTTATCGAGCTCTGATGTAGATGAATGTGTAAACATTTTTTATGAACAACTCTCTGTAATTATTAACAAATATACGCCATTAACAGCTATGAGATCTAATAAATATCCCGTTTGGTACAGCAAACCCTTAATAAAATGTATCGAAGAAAAAAATAAATACCACAAACTTTATAAAAAATTCAACAATCCCCGAGATTACGACGTGTTCACTTTACTGCGAGCTAGAGCCAAAAAAAATGATAGATCATTGTTATAAAAATTATGTTGCCTCTATTGAAGAATCAATGACTGACAATATAAAGTCATTCTGGACATATGTGAATAATAGAAAGGGCCGAGTCTCTATTCCAAATGTCATGCAGTTTGGCAACTCTTCTTCTTCGACCGGCCAGGGTGTATGTGAGCTATTTTCAAAGTACTTTGCTTCGGTGTTTGAATCGGATCAGCAACTTAGTAACTCCTCTGCTGCGAGTAACAATAATCTAGAGTCACCTGAGTGTAGTACCATGGACTCCATGTCTCACATTAATATATCTGACAGGGACATCATGACGAAGATCAAGCTTCTTGATGCAAGTAAAGGAGCCGGTCCTGACCAAATACCTCCTTCATTTGTTAAACGTTGTGGAAAAGAGCTATGCACACCATTAAGCATCATATTTAACAAATCCCTTACGAATGGAGTTTTTCCCAGTCGTTGGAAGATAGCACATATTGTACCCATTTTCAAAAACGGAGACAAGTCGCGCTGCGATAATTACAGACCCATAAGTATTTTGTCATGTTTCGCAAAGCTTTTCGAGTCCCAAGTACACACTCAGTTATACAGCCATTTTAAGCCTCTGATACCCGAAAATCAACATGGATTCATTAAGGGTAGATCAACTGTCACAAATCTTCTTGTATATAAAAACTACCTGTGCAAGGCTTTTGCCACAGGGGGTCAGGTTGACTCTATCTACACAGATTTCTCGAAGGCCTTCGATAAAGTGAGTCATAGACTACTTTGTAACAAGCTCGCCACCTGTGGTATTCACGGTAGTCTCCTTCGCTGGTTGGCCTCCTATTTGAATAAGAGAAGTCAGTTGGTGGCTTTGAGAGGATACACCTCGACCCCTACTGACATTACGTCAGGCGTGCCCCAGGGGTCACATCTGGGCCCGTTGTTATTTGTTGTCTTCATTAATGACCTCATTAAGAACATATCATGTGAATGTCTATTATACGCTGACGACCTGAAAATATTTAAAACAATAAACTCTTTCGAAGACTGTAATCTTTTACAGAAAGACTTAACTGCTGTTTCTCACTGGTGCAGAAATAATCTAATGTACCTTAATATAGACAAGTGTTTCGTTATTACGTTCACTAACAAGCGTAATGGGATCGTTAATGAGTACAGCATCAACGGCCAGACCCTTGAGAGGTCACATGTTGTCAAAGATCTCGGAATCCTTTTTGATGATAAGCTGACATTTCGCGAACACTACCACCACATAGTGAAAAAAGCGAATCAACTTCTGGGGTTTATTTTTAGATCTACTAAAGACTTCAAGGGCACTCATTCTTTTCTTTACCTTTTCACTACACTCGTCAGAAGCGTTTTGGAATACGGTAGTCCAATATGGTCTCCGCACTACAAAGTTCATATTGAAAATATAGAGAGAGTGCAGCGCAAATGCCTACGGATTTTAAGCTACCGCCAACAGTCGAGGCGCAAAACTCCTGATTATGAAGCTCGTCTCATTAATTTTAATGTACAAAAATTGGAAACACGTCGAAGATATTTTGATTTCGTTTACTTTTATAAAATACTTCACTCCATATTAGACGTTCCTACCTTGCTCGCTGAGATAACTTTTAATATCAAATATAGTGCTCGTAGAGCAAATCAAATAGCACTTTTTACTTTACAAGTGTATCAGAATAATACCTCCTTTTACAACCCCCTGGTTAGGATGGCTCGTCAGTGCAATGAAATAGCCAAGGGTAACCAAACCTTTGACGTTTTTCTACCTAAACTAACTCTTTATATTAATTTGATTAAAAGCATACTGTATCACAAGCCGACAGTCTAATCCCAGCGCTTGGACTCTCGGTCTCCTTATATTTTAACCCTATTATATTCTTATTTAGTATTGTTCTTTGTACCTATTATCTAGATTACTGTTCTTGTTAAACCTTAAATTGTGTAGACATATTTAACTCCCTTGTAATTTTTCATGTACACACATTTTTGTGGAATGCAACCTAGTTTATAAATGATTGTTTTTGTATAATTTGTTTAGTAATAGTTGTAATCTGTTGTGTGTGATAATAAATAAAAAAAAAAAAAAAAAAAAAAAAAACTTAGCTCCGACCGCATGGACAGTTTCCACGAGCTTGTCATTCATATCGTCCACTGCATTGCAATCTTGTAGGCACTGAAAGCGGTGGTGTAACTCGAGCTGAAAGTTTTCGGGATTCTGGATTAGAGCACGAGGGGGACGGAGCGTTGACTTCATTAGACGAGACCTCTCCAACTTAACGTTTAGGTTCAGTGTGCCTCTAACCATTCGGTGATCGCTGCCAGTTTTCACCCTTGCGATCACTGAGACATCACTGAACAGTTGGCGTCTGGTCGTCATAATGAAGTCAATCTCATTTTTTGTCGAACCGTCGGGGGCTCGACCAGGTCCACTTCCTGTGAGGCCGCTTCTGGAAGAAAGAGTTCATCATAAAGAGTCCCTCTTTCTCCATAAAGTCGGCCAGCTGCTGGCCCCTTCGGTTCCGTTGCCCTACTCCAAATTTCCCTAACTTCAGCTCACCGCTTTCTCTTGGGCCTAGTTTTGCGTTGAAGTCTCCAATCAACACCGTGTAGTGGGTTTTGGAGGAATGCATGGCTTTGGAAATATCCTCATACATTTCCTCTACCTCCTCATCGGGATGTGCCGAGGTTGGTGCGTAAACCTGTATGATCTTCAGCGAATACCGTTTGGTGATTCTGAGTATCAGGTACGCGACCCTCGTCGACACACTCCCAATCTTTACAACGTTGTTGACGACAGACTTGTGGAATATCATATATATTGTTCGATATTATATATGAACAATATCGTCTCTACTTTCATATTTTTCTGTGTGGGGAGGATGTTGTAGATTCAAGAAGGTCATTAGTCAGAGAAAAATACTGGCAGCTATTGCCTATGGTTATACGTAATATATATATATATATATATATATATATATATATATATATATATATATATATATATATATATATATATATATATATATATGTATATATATTACTTTTTATTCTGACTTTGATCCATGATGTTTTTAAATGAAAAAAAGGTAGCAAGAAGATGTTTTTAAAAGACATGAAGAAAATATTATAATTGGTAACTATTTTTGACCTGTTGTCTTGATTATATTGATTAAAATAATTAACAAAGAAAAAGTATTTAATTTCAACTATCACACCCTGATTTTTCATTCCCTAGAATTCCGACATTTCATAAGTGTTGCGAATAAAAAAGTTCTCCACCGAAAAAGGGACATTTTTGTCCCATTTGAGGGCAATAAAGAATAAAATGCTACGAATTTTTTATGTTTTATCTACAAAAAGGTAAATCTAAACATTTACTTACTCAAGTGACCTAATAAAAAATAATAAATATTTCAATATCACCAACAATATATCGAATTAACTTTAATTACTTTATTTTATTCTTTAGCTGGCATCACTGCCAACTAATTCCAGGTTTAGGTTCGCGTCACGCGATGGTTCGAGGCGCACGGCCGTCGCGATTAAATCGGATCTGTGCTCTAAAATAACAAAGTACAAAAATTTTGTTAAACAAATGAGCAGAGTGTGTAAATTTAAATGAAAATAATTAGTGAAGGTGTTACTTTCTATTATAACTGAATGGAACGTCATGCAAATAAACATAAACAGTGTTTGAATGGCAAGTGTTTTAGTGACAAAACTAAACTAATGCTCTAAAATTGCGGTGAACAACAAATAAAAGTACATAAAACTATCAATGTGTTAAATAACTATAATAAACTACGGCAACTGTGTCAATAATTGTAGAATAGAATATGGCAAAACTAAACTAATGCTCTAAAATTGCGATGAACAACAAATAAAAGTACCTACATAAAACAATCAATGTGTTAAATAACTATAATGAACTACGACAACTGTGTCAATAATTGTAACAGTATTATAGTGAAATTATTTAAGACTAATTTGATTACTGTCCACCCTCATATTTTTTTATAAAATTACATTTAACATTGCAACGAAGTGTGAATAATAAGACTCATTAGTAAAGGATTGTAATGCGACTCAAAACATTATATGGTCGCCCCATACTGCACACTGTATGCGTTACATGGTGGTAATAAGTTCAAATCTCGCAGCTGATATATACTATTTACATTGTTTTTTTTTTCTTTATTGCTGTTTTACTTTATTAATTAGACCAAAATATGGATAAAAAAATAGCTCAGAAAATGGTCAACCCTAATTGTTTTAAGTGCCAAAAGAAAATAATAAAAAAAAGATATACTTTGTTGTACAACTTGCAAAAATTTTTACGACATAACGTGTGCACAAGTATTGAGCAACAAAGTTAATGTCACGGAAAAATTAAAAAAGGAAAGCTGGAAATGCCAAATTTGCAAAGCAAGGCTACCAATAACAAGTGAAAACACCGACACTCCCTGTTCATCTAACGTGACAAAGAGAAGCATTAGGCATAAGGCACTTCCAGTAACGCCATTGCATAAGTCTGAAGAAGAAGAAGAATCAAATAGTTCTGATCATGACCTACATAGCCTGCCAGATATTAGTACTTATCAAAATGACAGAGAGGAAGAGTTGTTAAAAGAAATCGCTCATTTGAAATTAGAATTAGAAAAAGCTCATAATGAAATAGAAAATTTGAACATGGAAAATACAAAATTAGAAAAGCAAATTTTAGAAAAGGAAACGCTGACTGTAAAATGGAAGAAACTGTTTACTGAAGCCATGAGCACACCCAAAAAACGCGTATCTCTCACAAAACGAAATGCCACGGAAAAGAAAAAAGATAAGAAATTTGAACAAATCCGATCAATAGAGTTAGATGAGTCAAACGGTAATGCTATAGAAGTAGAGAATATAAACATGCCTATAATAATAAATGGGTGCGTTTGGCAGAAAAAAGCGCTAGCAAGCGCTTGTAAGCAAAATGGCGATCGTAAGCGGTAAGCGCTGTCAAATCGTAAGTAGCTATTTTCCTCCAGGACACGATGTTAGTTTTAACCGGGGAACCTAACCTAATTTAAATATATGTTTGTAAAGTATTTATATTAAAAACTTACCAATCATGAATTTTTAATAACATGTATATGTTTATTAACGTTATTATATTACTTAAAACTAATATTGCACAAAACAACTTATAAAATCTACTTCAAAACAAACAAATTAAATAAGCAAAATGGCGGATTGTGTCAGCGCTATTGAAGTAGTAATCGTGTCCTGGCCGAAAACTATTTCAGCGCTTGTAAGCGCTTGCTAGCGCTTTTTTCTGCCAAACGCACCCATTAATTCAAGATTACACAATGAGAAAATTAAACAAAAGACAATAAACAATAGCATTGTAATATTTTCGGACAGTATCGGACAAGGATAGGCGTCAAAGATAATAGAAAAAACTGAATTTCAAGCAATTAACAACTGTAAACCGGACGCAGGATTTCAAGATATATTAGAAAACTATGGCGAAAAGATTAAAGGTCTCGAAAAGAAAAAAAAGATACAGTAGCAGTACTTATTACTAAATATGAAAGTTCTCTTTATCATAATCAACAAAAGTACATAAAACTATTGAACTGAAATTTAACATGATAATCACCGGTTTGCGTTATAAAGGCAAAAATGACAACGAGATTCACCATATCAACAACCAGATCCTTAATATAGCTAAAGTTAGCGAAAATATCAAATTTCTGAACCCGAATATTAGATATAAAAATACAAGAAACTATAAATTATTGAAAAACTTCGTCATAGAAAATATAATAACAAGTATAGACCGCAAGTTTCAAGGATCATCTTCACTGCGTTTCATCAAATACCAAAACGAACACACTTCCTCAAGTGATAATGGTACAAATTTTTTAACAACGCAAGAACCGATTCAAAAACGATAATCCTTCATGCGAATGTTCGAACGTGTTGTGTTTGATGGAGACTTGGGGTAAAACTATCAGATACAAGCGATGACTATTGAAAACTATACACTCGCGACTTGCTTTAATAGAATAGTTTTTGAACACGGTGGAACGGCGATATATGTGAAAAATACTTTAGATTATAAAATTAGGAACGACTTGAATAAACTATCATTTGAAATGAATTGTGAATTAGCAGCGATAGAATTAAAATCCTCAAAAACAATAATCATTGCACTTTACCGACCTGATTATGATATCAGTCTATTCTTTGAAATACTTACAAAACTTTTAAATAAACTTTGTCAAGAGAACAAACAAATTGTAATAGCAGGTGACTTGAACTTAAATGTTTTAAAAATTGACACAAATATTAACAAACTTGACAAAATACTAATTGTAAATGGGTATTAAACGAACCGACTAGAATCGAAACAAATAAACGAAATAAAACCAGTTCTAATTGTATAGATAACTTTATTGTCAATTTTAATGAATGTAAAGGATGTGTATTAAGTCAAAAACTTTCTGATCATAATATAATTAAATTAGAATTAGTTAATCTAAAAACATTTAACAATAAATGTAGAACTTATGTAGGTAGAAATTTCTCAAGGAATAATCTTGATTACTTTAATTATTTGTTTAATAAAAATTACGATGCGATTAAATCAGAAATTATAATAACTGAAGACGCGAACACAAGAATGAGAATTTTACACGATGCGTTGCATCATTATTACAACATTGCTTTTCCAAAAATAAAAAACAAATAAGAAGCAAACTTAAAAAATGGACTACTTATTATAATTATAAATTATAATTAGGTATAGAAAAGAGTAAGAAAAACTTAACTAAAATGGAAATATTACAAGAACATTGCCCTAGCGAACAAAGAAAATTAAAAATTAAAAAATATAAGAAAATATTGCTAAAAACAATGATAGCCGCTAAAAAAATACAATATTGTAACAGGATTAAGGAAGCAAAAAATAAAATTAAAGAATCGTGGAATATTATAAATGAGCAGATAGGACAAAAGAAACGTCAAAATATAAAATCTAAAATTGAATCTATAAGAAACAATAGTGGGCAGATTATTACAGAATCTCAAAAAATTGTAAGAAGTTTTAATGATTTTTTCTGAAATATTGCACATAGATTAACAAGCAATTTAGAAGTTGACGCAGAAAACTGCATGAAGTACTTAGATTGCTCTGATAGACCACTAACATCTATTTCTTTTCACCCAGTAGATTATACAGAGCTAAAAAAGGTTGTTACTACTATGAAGCAAAAATCTACGTTAGACATTTACGATATGAACATTAGAACATTAAGAAATTTTATTAGAAATAACAATAATTTATTCGAGTTGATATTTATTGTTGTCAATTCCTGCTTAGTTAATGGCATATTCCCCGACGTACTCAAACCGGGTAGTGTAATTCCACTTTTCAAAAAAGAGGATTCCACAGATCTAAGTAATTACAGGCCAGTTTGTATATTGCCAACTTTATCGAAAATATTAGAAGCCATTTTAAAATCAAGAATTGTAAGTTACTTTGAAGAAAATCATTTATTTACAACGACACAATTTGGATTTAGAAAAGGACGATCAACCGAAATGGCCATAAGAAAAGTAATTTATTTCATTCTAGAATCTTTGGACAATTCCAATAGATGTGCTAGTATTTTTTGTGACCTATCAAAGGCTTTTGATTGCTTGCGACATGATGTAATGATATTAAAATCGCAGCATTATGGGTTTCAAGGAGCTGAACTAAATATGATGAAAACTTATTTAAGTAACCGTAGCCAAATTGTTTCAGTAAATGAGCAAACTTCTTTAGCGAGTTCTGTATCAATGGGAGTACCACAAGGCTCGATATTGGGTCCCGTTTTGTTTTTGATCTATATTAATGATCTTGGCCATGCAATACCCATATCGGTTTAAGAGACAAAAGTTTATCAAATTTAGACGATAAAATTAATAGTGTTATGAGCTTGCTAAAAGAATGGTTTGGAGCAAATGGTATTATTTTAAATTCCAATAAAAGCATTGTATTGCATTATCAAACGAGGCTAGGCATTCGTGATAATTCGACTGCAAAAGAAAATGTATTTTTAGGATATGTAGTAGATAGCACAATAAACCATAAAGCTCACATTGAAAAAATTTGTAAGAAAATAGCTAGCGGTAACTACGCATTATTCAAGCTAAAATCATTCTATAATAAGATATGCCATTACTATTTGGGGTAATGTTCCGGATATTATAAAAGTTTTAAAATGTCAAAAACAGTCTATAAGAATAATCAATGGTCTGAAAAAAGTAGCCCGACAAGAAAACATTTTAAGACCGACAAAATAATGACAGTGGTTTCGCTTTATATATATAATAGTTTACTAGAGAGTATAATAGTTTATTAGAGGTACATGAGGATAAATACCGAAAAAGAGAGACATAAATCAACACAATCTGCGTAATAATGAAAAACGTGTTCTACCCATGAATAGATTAGTAAAAGTAAAAAAAACATGGGCGTTACTCAAAAATATTGATGTTTAATAAATAACAAAAAGTTTAACCAGCCTACATTATAGCAAATTTAAACAGACACTTAAGTATTTTTTTGAGAACAACCCATTTTACAAATTAAGCGAATACACATAGATTACTGACTATATACTAGAGACGAATACATGTCAATGCAACTCATGGAACCGTCATTCTTGTGTAACGTGCAAACAAAATAAATTACCTAATTCTATGACGTAAAGCATTAATGTATATAAATTAAGGAAATAGTACAATATTATAATTTAACCTTATAAATTTATTAAAACTTTTGTAACCAATGACTTGCCTGTAACGATTGTTATATTAAGGTCAATAAATATTTCTGATTTCTGATTTAGTAAAACCTTTTAAAAAATAAAATCTTAGCTGTCACGTCGCGTCTGTCACATTGATTGATTTTCATTCGACTTCTTTGAACTCATCTTTTTTGCGCTCACGTGTTCTCGGTACTATTTGTTGTTATTATCTTGTTCCATACTTCGAAAATTAAAACCAAACTCAGTAGCAGTGTTGAATAATGCTCCCTATCATTTTTTTATAGAAGAGGGGGCAAATGAGTATGCAGCTCACCTGATGTTAAGTGACTACCGCCGCTCATGATTAATCGCAACACCAGGGGAATTGCAGGTGCATTGCCGGCCCTTTAGAAAGGAGTAAGCTCTTTTCTTGAAGGTTCCCAGGTGACAAGGCCCACAAAGAGGTCATACGTGGAAGAAAACTTCTTGTAAAACGTACAGTGGTGGACCGCCTAGCATCCAGATGGTGTGGATGGAATCGAGGAATTGCCGCATAGTGCGTTCCCGAAATTGGCGGCTAGGATTAATCCGAACAATTCCTCAGAGCACTCCCCGTGGTATATGCGAAAGAAAATGCAAAGAGATGCAACATCTCTTTGCAGCGCCACTGAATCGAACCGATCGGAAAGCACTCGGTCGTCGACGATTCGAGCCGCTCTGCGCTGGATACGGTCAAGTGAAAGGAGCTGGTACTGGGGAGCTCAAGCCCAGAGATGGGAACAGTATTCCATGTACAGCCGAACCTGCGCCTTGTACAGTTGCAGGCGGTGTGCCGGCATGAAATACTGTCCCGCTCTGCTGAGCACGTCAAGCTTTTTAGAGGCCAATTTGGCCTTCTCTTCCAAGTGACCACGAAACTGCACGTCATTCGATATGTCGACGCCGAGGATTCCGATACTGGCTGGCAACAAGGGGAGTGCCTTGAAACTGAGGAGATACGACAAAGGGGTTCTTTTTAGTGGTTAACGCGCAAACTTGTGTCTTCTGAGGGTTAAACTGGACTAGATTCATTCGCCCCCAATCCACAACTCTGTTCAGCAAAGACTCTACTTCAGACACAAGTTTGTCCCGGTACTCGGAGACGTTTTCCCGAGAAATATTGGCATGGCCAGTGTACAGAGCATCACCAGTGCAGTCATCTGCATAGCCATGAATGTTACGGGTTCGCAACATATAATTGATATGTAGAAGAAACAGCGTTGGTGATAGCACGCAATCTTGTGGAACACCAGCATTAACAAGCTTGTAATCGGAGCTTGCACCGTCTACAACGACCTTGATGCTCCGATCTGCAAGAAAGCTGGTGATCCAATTGCACAATTTCTCGGGAAGCCCATAGGAAGGGAGCTTCGAAAGAAGCACTTTGTGCCAATGATTTCTTATATTTACGCGAACACTACACATTGAAATAATACTAGTTTTTACGGAATTTATCGCGTATATTTAACTTTTTAAATACCCGACGTTTCGAACGCTTTACAGCACTCATGGTCACAGGCGGGACTGAGATGTTCAACGTCCATATGTCATAGGTAACCGCGGTTACCATAGATTAGAATTTAACTTTTGTTCCGATCTATATAGTATGAACTTATGGTATCTTGAAGTCTTGCAGTTGTATGCTTGGGTTGGGATTAAAATTTATTAATTATGGGATCCCAATCAGATGGTAGTACCCAGCCATCTTCTCTATTGAAATTAGGATGTTTTTTGATTTCAATAGCCTCGCGAATCATCCTTGGAAGGAATCAGTGTTCTTTAGCGAGGATTTGCGGTCTATCAAATCTGATGTAGTGACGGATCTGATGAGTGACGGATGATGATAGTGATGAGAAAAAGCCTAGCAGATCGGCTTTCTCCTTTGCGGTATGGGCCAGTGAGTCATCCTCCCTATGCGGAGATGGAACAGATGGCTGACAGAAATTCCCCTGGGGAGCCTTGGCGAAAGACTAGAATGCACGGGTTCCAGAAGTAAGGCGAACTAGTTTCTCGCCAATTCTGCCTATGTGCTCTGATTTTGCCTTGGAAATTACTCTTTTGAAGGACCTGGAGGCGGAATTATACATCTTTTTTAGAGCGCTGGTGTTTACATCCCGAGACGTTGATGCGTTGGCGTTGGTTGGTGTTGCTATTTTACAGGAGCGACCAAATCATGGCTAAGATTTGCCTCTGATGAGCACCACAGAGGAAGGAATAAAAAGTTCCATACCCTGAAGTACCACATCAGCGACAGAATGCGCAATATCGATGGGATCGTTTAGCGAGAAGCAAACCCGCCCCTAAGGGTAGGATGCAAGGTAGGACCGCATCATATCCCAATCGGCTGGCTATAGTGCCAAATACGGCGGCAGTCTGCAGAATGCAACTGCGATTTCAGCGTGAGTGGCACCACACTCCGGACAAGACATTGGTCCGAGGAGCCTAAAGGGGCGTCGACAGAAATCTGATATCCGTCCAGGTGAGAGGTCAGCAGAAGGCCCAATAGAGAAGGTGCATGATCCTCCACAACTGGAATCCGCGTAGGCGAAGTAACCAGTTGTGTCAGACCATATGCCAAGGCAAAATCATGAACAGATCTCCCCGTTGAATAAAACTAAATTTACGGATTCTATCGCGTTTATTTAACTGATTTTACTTATTTTTAATTCCCGACGTTTCGGGTGCTTTACAGCAACCATGGTCACGGGGGGGACCAAGGTTGCTGTAAATTTAAGAAATCATCAGATCTCCCCGCATAATCGGTTAAACGCGAACCAAGCCATTCAGCGTAATGGGCGTTAAAATCGCCGAGGATCACGATCTCCGCGTAGGGGATCTGCTGTAGCAACGACTCTGTAGCCGTTTGGACGTAGTCGAAGAGTCGGTTTGTTTTGGCATTACCGCTGTGGGACCTATAGAGGCACCCGTAGACGCGCGGATGGTCGTCGCTGTCTACGCGTGGACAAATGATGGACAGGTCCAAACAGGACAAATGATGGACAGGTCAAGACTGCCGAGGCGTCGAGAACAGATGTCCTCTTTGACGTAAACACAAACTCCAGCCCGAGGCACAAAGAAGTGTTGCAGTTTGTACCCCGGGTAGGAGAGAGACGAGACATCAGCCGGAGAAGACACCTGCGCCTCGTTCAGAAAGAGCAGAGCCGGCCTCGCCGTCTCGAGATGGTAGTGGATGGCGTGTTAGGTAGGTTTAGTGAAGTCCTCTGATATTGCAGAAATTCACGGATAGCGTGGCGGGGGTCGCCTCGGTTTTGTTGCTCCATTTGTCCC